GGGTCATCAGGGTGAAAGAAACTCTGCCCATTTGTGTCTGCCTAGTCCGGGAATCGAACCCGGGCCACAGGATTACGAGTCCCACGCGCTGTCTACTCAACTACCAGACCCCCTTATGTGCACGCGTTTGTGCAGCTCCTGTATGTTTGTGCAGTCCCTGTGTGTTTGTGCAGCCCCTGTGTGCTTGTGCAGTCCCTGTGTGTTTGTGCAGTCCCTGTATGTTTGTGCAGCCCCTGTGTGCTTGTGCAGTCCCTGTGTTTTTGTGCAGCCCCTGTGTGTTTGTGCAGTCCCTGTGTGCTTGTGCAGTCCCTGTGTTTTTGTGCAGTCCCTGTGTGTTTGTGCAGTCCCTGTGTGTTTGTGCAGTCCCTGTGTTTGTGCAGGTCGTGTGTGTTTGTGCAGCCCCGTGTGTTTGTGCAGGTCGTGTGTTTGTGCTGCCCCGTGTGTTTGTGCAGTCCCTGTGTTTGTGCAGCCCCGTGTGTTTGTGCAGTCCCTGTGTTTGTGCAGTCCCTGTGTGTTTGTGTAGCCCCTGTGTGTTTGTGCAGTCCCTGTGTTTGTGCAGCCCCGTGTGTTTGTGCAGTCTCTGTGTGTTTGTGCAGTCCCTGTGTTTGTGCAGTCCCTGTGTGTTTGTGTAGCCCCTGTGTGTTTGTGCAGTCCCTGTGTGTTTGTGCAGTCCCTGTGTGTTTGTGCAGGCCCTGTGTGTTTGTGCGGTTCCTGTGTGTTTGTGCAGTCCCTGTGTGTTTGTGCAGTCCCTGTGTGTTTGTGCAGTCCCTGTGTGTTTGTGCGGTTCCTGTGTGTTTGTGCAGTCCCTGTGTTTGTGCAGGTCGTGTGTGTTTGTGCAGCCCCTGTGTGTTTGTGCAGCCCCTGTGTGTTTGTGCAGCCCCTGTGTGTTTGTGCAGCCCGTGTGTTTGTGCAGTCCCTGTGTGTTTGTGCAGCCCTTGTGTTTGTGCAGTCCCTGTGTGTTTGTGCAGCCCTGTGTGTTTGTGCAGTCCCTGTGTGTTTGTGCAGCCCCTGTGTGTTTGTGCAGTCCCTGTGTGTTTGTGCACCCCGTGTGTGTTTGTGCAGCCCTGTGTGTTTGTGCAGGCCGTGTGTTTTTGCAGTCCCTGTGTGTTTGTGCAGCCCTGTGTGTTTGTGCAGTTCCTGTGTGTTTGTGCAGTCCCTGTGTGTTTGGGCAGTCCCTGTGTGTTTGTGCAGCCCGTGTGTGTTTGTGCAGTCCCTGTGTGTCTGTGCAGTCCCTGTGTGTTTGTGCAGTCCCTGTGTGTTTGTGCGGCCCGTGTGTGTTTGTGCAGTCCCTGTGTGTCTGTGCAGTCCCTGTGTGTTTGTGCAGTCCCTGTGTGTTTGTGCGGCCCGTGTGTGTTTGTGCAGCCCGTGTGTGTTTGTGCAGGTCGTGTGTGTTTGTGCAGGTCCTGTGTGTTTGTGCAGTCCCTGTGTGTTTGTGCGGCCCGTGTGTGTTTGTGCAGTTCCGGTTTGTGCAGTCCCTGTGTGTTTGTGCAGCCTCTGTGTGTTTGTGCAGCCCTGTGTGTTTGTGCAGCCTCTGTGTGTTTATGCAGCCCGTGTGTGTTTGTGCAGGTCGTGTGTGTTTGTGCAGGTCCTGTGTGTTTGTGCAGCCCCTGTGTGTTTGTGCAGGTCGTGTGTGTTTGTGCAGCCCCTGTGTGTTTGTGCAGTCCCTGTGTGTTTGTGCAGGTCGTGTGTGTTTGTGCAGGTCCTGTGTGTTTGTGCAGCCCCTGTGTGTTTGTGCAGGTCGTGTGTGTTTGTGCAGCCCCTGTGTGTTTGTGCAGGTCCTGTGTGTTTGTGCAGCCCCTGTGTGTTTGTGCGGTCCCTGTGTGTTTGTGCAGTCCCTGTGTGTTTGTGCAGTCCCTGTGTGTTTGTGCAGCCCGTGTGTGTTTGTGCAGTCCCTGTGTGTTTGTGCAGTCCTTGTGTGTTTGTGCAGCCCGTGTGTTTGTGCAGTCCCTGTGTGTTTGTGCAGTCCCTGTGTGTTTGTGCAGTCCTTGTGTGTTTGTGCAGCCCATGTGTGTGTTTGTGCAGTCCCTGTGTGTTTGTGCAGCCCGTGTGTGTTTGTGCAGGTCGTGTGTGTTTGTGCAGCCCGTGTGTGTTTGTGCAGGTCGTGTGTGTTTGTGCAGCCCGTGTGTGTTTGTGCAGCCCATGTGTGTGTTTGTGCAGTCCCTGTGTGTTTGTGCAGCCCGTGTGTGTTTGTGCAGGTCGTGTGTGTTTGTGCAGCCCGTGTGTGTTTGTGCATGTCGTGTGTGTTTGTGCAGCCCGTGTGTGTTTGTGCAGCCCGTGTGTGTTTGTGCAGCCCGTGTGTGTGCGCGCAAGGACAATAAGAGTGTACAGGCGTGTGTGTGTTCGCCTGCTGGTATACAATAAGTTATTTTTGGGGAGGAATGTTATTTGTGTTCAGCAACGATCAAGCTCCACGAGGTCAGATGCGCGTGTCTGTGCTCTGAACCCATGATTGTATTCCACCACAGTCAAGTGTGGTGTGGGTAGTGAAATGTGGCAGCGGGTCACCGTAGACCTTCACGCCTCTCCTTCACGTAAGCCATCGTACCATTCAGAAAGTATAACACTTACTGCTTTACTACCGTCAATGCATTGTATGAGGACCTGGTCACTGAAGTAGCCGCTTTTTATGACAATGTTGTAAAATCCACAAGACCCAAACCAGTGAGGAAGGGGCAGAGGTGGTTCACTGACTCACGCCTTAAGCCCCTGCATGACAGAGTTCTATTCCTAGCTGAGCAGTATAAAACACATAAAACAGCTGACACCTTCAACATATTTCTTAAAGCCAGCCGAGAGTTTAGAGAGCTAAAGGAACAGGTGTATAACCAGCACTGGGAACAGTTTCTGCAAGGCATCAATCATGCAACATCCTCATCCCAAATGTGGAATAAAATTAAAAAGATTTCTCGTGCTAGCAGTCGTCAACTTGATCACCATTCACCTGTAGACTATGCCGACATGCTGCTTCAGCAATATGCAAGCACTGCTAGTATAAGCAGCCTGTTTCACTACAGCCAATTTCAATATTGAAATTGCCTGTAGTGAAATAGGGCCTGATGATAACTATGGCATAACTCCCTTTGACATTAAAAATGCACTCAAGAAAGGTAAGGCTACCTCTCCTGGAGAGGATGGCATCACATACAATACCATGAGAGTACTTGCTGAGCTGCCAAAAAGCCCTTTGCTAGAATTGTTTAATCAAAGTCTAAGGAAGGGTGTCTTACCTGACCGCTGGACACAGGGACTCATAATACCCATACCCAAGCCTAATTCACAAAAATTTAGACCCATTTCTCTGACGTCGTGCTTGTGTAAAGTTCTTGAGAGAATTATTCTCGACAGACTAATGTTTCAAATCAAACCCCACCTTGCCCCTAACCTGTATGGTTTCCTTCCTGGAAGAAGCACACAAACTTGCTTTGCTGAGTATTTTATCAGTGGGGGACCAAACTCTCAGGCGGCATTTATTGATCTCCAAACTGCTTTTGATACTGCAAACAGAGAAATAATCTTAGAACAACTAGCCTCTTTTGGAGTTAAGGGAAGACTGATGACATGGCTCAGGGGGTACCTGAGTAACAGAACCGCCTCAGTTCTTTTCAAGGGGGTCAAAAGTAACCTTTGTGCACCCTTTGAGTTGGGTACACCCCAGGGTGGAGTGCTAAGTCCTATACTGTTCAATGTTCTGATGCACAAATTAACAATTGATATCCCCGAGACTACCTGACGAAGCCGTCATCTTTTATACCGATGACATATGCATTGTTGCAAATACCCAAACTAGACTGCAAGCTCTACTTGATTCACTCGCTGCTAAAAGCATTGAATGTGGTCTTGTTATCTCTATAACTAAATCCAGAGTTCTCCATCCCCAAGAGAAAACTCATGTCCCTATAACTTTCAAGGTCAACAACCAGAACATTGAAACGTGTGGGCAGCACAAATACCTTGGAGTTGGTATTAACAGTGACATTGTAAGCGATCTACACCGTAGGTTAAAAGAAAGACTTAAACCACTGAAAACACTTACTGGTAAGAATATTGGTATCAATATTAAATATGCTAGACTATTCTATATGTTTGTTAGATCTCTCGTTGATTATAATGCTTTGCACTTAATTAATTTCCCCTCCTCTGTGTTGGACAAACTTGAAGTAGTACAGAATGAGGCCATGAGGATAATTCTTGGTGCTCCAAGATGCACAAGAATCATCAACATGAGGGAAGAACTGAAGCTTCCAACCATACTAGAGAGAATAATGCAAGTCAACATGACTTTTTGCCTTAAAGTCATGAGAGACCCTACATCTCCTGCATTGCTCAGAGACAAATTATTTAGTGCTGTTAACACCCTATTGACTGGTGCCGACATTCCAACTCATTCCTTTTATGATAAATGACTGAGAAAAAATGCCTACAATCTCTTTAAACTCAACATTCATTTTAAGTAGAATCTACCTGTCTCTGATATTCCTCTTTATCTGTACCCCACCATTCAAGTATCATACACACCTGTCACCAAGAAAGATAATGAGAATCTTGCTCTTCTCAAAGCTGTCACTCTTGAAACAATTGCCTTCTCCAGTGGTTGCCAGGATCAGGTTGGGTTACCGTTACCTGTGGCAGGTGGCTGCAGGTGACGGATCTCCCAATCCTGAGCACTCCAGGTCCAAACTCTGTGAGCAGGAACTGCGGCATGATCTCCCATACTACATCACCGAATGCCCAGTTATTAGACCTTTCAGACCAGTTGGCATGAGGTACCTGGAGCTTTGCAATTACTTTATTCACTCTCGTACTCATGAGGATATCCTCATAATGCCCCCAGAGTGTGCCAGTGCAGACTACTTATCACATGGCCCTGTATGACTAACCATCCTGTGTGATGGGGAGGTTTAGCATCACCCAGCTGGTTCTTGACACACACTCCCCATAATATAGTCCAGGGCAGCTGCACAAATGCACAAGGACGGAAATGTGTTAAGAAAAAAATTTCATTATAACTTGCCATCTTGTAGACGGATATTTTTATCATTAGTATTTGATTCACTCGTATTGTTGTACATGCATGCGTTGTGCATGCTTTGTGCATGCGTTGTGCATGCTTTGTGCATGCTTTGTGCATGCGTTGTGCATGCTTTGTGCATGCTTTGTGCATGCTTTGTGCATGCGTTGTGCATGCTTTGTGCATGCTTTGTGCATGCTTTGTGCATGCTTTGTGCATGCGTTGTGCATGCTTTGTGCATGCGTTGTGCATGCTTTGTGCATGCGTTGTGCATGCTTTGTGCATGCTTTGTGCATGCGTTGTGCATGCTTTGTGCATGCTTTGTGCATGCTTTGTGCATGCTTTGTGCATGCGTTGTGCATGCGTTGTGCATGCTTTGTGCATGCTTTGTGCATGCTTTGTGCATGCTTTGTGCATGCTTTGTGCATGCTTTGTGCATGCTTTGTGCATGCGTTGTGCATGCTTTGTGCATGCTTTGTGCATGCTTTGTGCATGCTTTGTGCATGCGTTGTGCATGCTTTGTGCATGCTTTGTGCATGCTTTGTGCATGCTTTGTGCATGCGTTGTGCATGCTTTGTGCATGCTTTGTGCATGCGTTGTGCATGCGTTGTGCATGCTTTGTGCATGCGTTGTGCATGCTTTGTGCATGCTTTGTGCATGCTTTGTGCATGCGTTGTGCATGCTTTGTGCATGCGTTGTGCATGCGTTGTGCATGCTTTGTGCATGCGTTGTGCATGCTTTGTGCATGCGTTGTGCATGCTTTGTGCATGCTTTGTGCATGCTTTGTGCATGCGTTGTGCATGCTTTGTGCATGCGTTGTGCATGCGTTGTGCATGTTTTGTGCATGCTTTGTGCATGCGTTGTGCATGCGTTGTGCATGCGTTGTGCATGCTTTGTGCATGCTTTGGTCGCTAGTCACACCTGCTGATGGACCTTTTACCTTAACCATCCTGCGAGAGGGAGATTTTGTTGCCATTTATGTGGTCTAGAGTAGCTGCATAAATACAGATGTACCCAAGTATGTTAATTAATAAACACAATTCCCGTTGTCGGGGCAGAAAGCCTGTACTTAAACTTATCAAGGTCGCCTCTAGATCATTTCTTCCCAGAAGATCTTTATTTGAGGTAGTGCATTGTACTGTTTTGAATCCTTCTGATACTTACAAAGTTACTCGTGAGGTTCCGGGAAATAATACTTGAGCTACGTTAAGCTGCGCCCTTCATTGTGGAACACTTGACTCTAGGATTTACTGAATATCTTTCATCGATGTGGTATAGCACATTAATGATGTGATAAACGATAACTCGTCTTGACCTCGAGGACGTGGCAGATGGGAGTCAGGCTCCCAAGATACAAGTGAATTGAAAATGTTTTACACACAGGTGGGTACAGGAGCAGACGACTGCTGACTCCTGTTGGCTGGCTGAGAGCTTTCCCTTCCCATAGCTCATGGTAAGCCTTACCCTACTAGTTTTACACACAGGTGGGTACAGGAGCAGACGACTGCTGACTCCTGTTAGCTGGCTGAGAGCTTTCCCTTCCCATAGTTCATGGTAAGCCTTACCCTACTAGTTTTACACACAGGTGGGTACAGGAGCAGACGACTGCTGACTCCTGTTGGCTGGCTGAGAGCTTTCCCTTCCCATAGCTCATGGTAAGCCTTACCCTACTAGTTTTACACACAGGTGGGTACAGGAGCAGACGACTGCTGACTCCTGTTAGCTGGCTGAGAGCTTTCCCTTCCCATAGCTCATGGTAAGCCTTACCCTACTAGTTTTACACACAGGTGGGTACAGGAGCAGACGACTGCTGACTCCTGTTAGCTGGCTGAGAGCTTTCCCTTCCCATAGCTCATGGTAAGCCTTACCCTACTAGTTTTACACACAGGTGGGTACAGGAGCAGACGACTGCTGACTCCTGTTAGCAGGCTGAGAGCTTTCCCTTCCCATAGCTCATGGTAAGCCTTACCCTACTAGTTTTACACACAGGTGGGTACAGGAGCAGACGACTGCTGACTCCTGTTAGCTGGCTGAGAGCTTTCCCTTCCCATAGTTCATGGTAAGCCTTACCCTACTAGTTTTACACACAGGTGGGTACAGGAGCAGACGACTGCTGACTCCTGTTAGCTGGCTGAGAGCTTTCCCTTCCCATAGTTCATGGTAAGCCTTACCCTACTAGTTTTACACACAGGTGGGTACAGGAGCAGACGACTGCTGACTCCTGTTAGCTGGCTGAGAGCTTTCCCTTCCCATAGCTCATGGTAAGCCTTACCCTACTAGTTTTACACACAGGTGGGTACAGGAGCAGACGACTGCTGACTCCTGTTAGCTGGCTGAGAGCTTTCCCTTCCCATAGCTCATGGTAAGCCTTACCCTACTAGTTTTACACACAGGTGGGTACAGGAGCAGACGACTGCTGACTCCTGTTAGCAGGCTGAGAGCTTTCCCTTCCCATAGCTCATGGTAAGCCTTACCCTACTAGTTTTACACACAGGTGGGTACAGGAGCAGACGACTGCTGACTCCTGTTAGCTGGCTGAGAGCTTTCCCTTCCCATAGTTCATGGTAAGCCTTACCCTACTAGTTTTACACACAGGTGGGTACAGGAGCAGACGACTGCTGACTCCTGTTAGCTGGCTGAGAGCTTTCCCTTCCCATAGTTCATGGTAAGCCTTACCCTACTAGTTTTACACACAGGTGGGTACAGGAGCAGACGACTGCTGACTCCTGTTAGCTGGCTGAGAGCTTTCCCTTCCCATAGTTCATGGTAAGCCTTACCCTACTAGTTTTACACACAGGTGGGTACAGGAGCAGACGACTGCTGACTCCTGTTAGCTGGCTGAGAGCTTTCCCTTCCCATAGCTCATGGTAAGCCTTACCCTACTAGTTTTACACACAGGTGGGTACAGGAGCAGACGACTGCTGACTCCTGTTAGCTGGCTGAGAGCTTTCCCTTCCCATAGCTCATGGTAAGCCTTACCCTACTAGTTTTACACACAGGTGGGTACAGGAGCAGACGACTGCTGACTCCTGTTAGCAGGCTGAGAGCTTTCCCTTCCCATAGCTCATGGTAAGCCTTACCCTACTAGTTTTACACACAGGTGGGTACAGGAGCAGACGACTGCTGACTCCTGTTAGCAGACTGAGAGCTTTCCCTTCCCATAGCTCATGGTAAGCCTTACCCTACTAGTTTTACACACAGGTGGGTACAGGAGCAGACGACTGCTGACTCCTGTTAGCTGGCTGAGAGCTTTCCCTTCCCATAGTTCATGGTAAGCCTTACCCTACTAGTTTTACACACAGGTGGGTACAGGAGCAGACGACTGCTGACTCCTGTTAGCTGGCTGAGAGCTTTCCCTTCCCATAGCTCATGGTAAGCCTTACCCTACTAGTTTTACACACAGGTGGGTACAGGAGCAGACGACTGCTGACTCCTGTTAGCTGGCTGAGAGCTTTCCCTTCCCATAGTTCATGGTAAGCCTTACCCTACTAGTTTTTCTCATGAACATGACCTGCCAATCTATTATCTACCCATTTACTATAGGGTAAACAAGAGGCGGGCAGGTGAAGATCAGTACCCAGTCGATCATCCCCGTCCAGGACTCGAACACAATCGCCTGCTAGATGTAGGACGAGCACGCTACCAGTGCGCCACCAGATTATCTTGAAACTTGGAAATGGCTATTAACACCTCGATACTGTTATACTGTATTATAGGTATACCGTATTACAGGCATACTGTATTATACTGTATTACAGGTAAACTGTATTACAGGTATACTGTATTACGGGTATACTGTATTACAGGTATACTGTATTACACTGGTATACTGTATAACAGTTATACTGTATTCGTTATATTGTGTTTTACCTATACTGTATTACTGTTAAACTGTATTACACTTTTATATTGTATTATGCTGTATTACAGTTATAGTTTAATCTATTGTCATAGTGTTACAGTGTTACACTATTACAGTGTTATACAGACTATACACTTGTCTGTATGACTGGTGTTGGACCCTCCCCCCCCCCCACTCCCTCTCCCGACCCTACAGTACTTTACCCTACCTTGCTCCCCCAGGTCACATGGGTACACCTTCACCCTCCCCCCACTCTCCCCCTTCCCTCACTCCCCCTCTCACCCCCACTCCACCCTCTCACCCCCACCCTTTTCACCGCACCTTCCCCCCGCTCTCACCCCCACCACCCCCACCATGTTGACTGAGGTTGGTATAGTGAGGTTGTTGACCGTTGTGCTGGCGCACTTTACGGCGGTGTTTGCCTGCAGGGAAGGTCTTGACGGCTCTCACGGGCAACTGTCTCCTTTATCCTCCCTCCGTTGGCTTTCTTGCTCCTCTTTTTACCGTTTTTTCAATTCCGCCTTCGTATCTCTTTCCCATTATCTTTCCTGTTTGTGTATTTACTTCCCGTTTTCTGTTGCTCCTTCGTATCTCTTTCCCATTCTCTTTCCTGCCTGTGTATTGACTTCCCGTTTTCTGTTGCTCCTTCGTATCTCTTTCCCATTCTCTTTCCTGCCTGTGTATTGACTTCCCGTTTTCTGTTGCTCCTTCGTATCTCTTTCCCATTCTCTTTCCTGCCTGTGTATTGACTTCCCGTTTTCTGTTGCTCCTTCGTATCTCTTTCCCATTCTCTTTCCTGCCTTTGTATTGTCTTCCCGTTTTCTGTTGCTCCTTCGTATCTCTTTCCCATTCTCTTTCCTGCCTATGTATTGTCTTCCCGTTTTCTGTTGCTCCTTCGTATCTCTTTCCCATTCTCTTTCCTGCCTTTGTATTGTCTTCCCGTTTTCTGTTGCTCCTTCGTATCTCTTTCCCATTCTCTTTCCTGCCTTTGTATTGACTTCCCGTTTTCTGTTGCTCTTTCGTATCCCCTTTCAGGGACATGTGTCCGTGGACATAATGGTGGGTGAACATGATAGCTCTGATACCGCGCACCTTGTGTGTGTTTTTGTTCTGGAACTGTCATCCTTGGTGATATTTACCACCTTTGGAATACCCCGCCACACTGCTGGGGCGACATAGTCTCTCCGCCTGTTGATAATTACTTCGTATCTCCTTTCCATTTTCTCACGTCTTTGTCCTTCCCATTCTCTCTCTCTCTCACGCCTTCATATTACTTACCATTTTCTCTCCCATTATTCTGTCGTCGCCACTTTTCTGTGTGCGCCGAATGTTTCTCGCATTTCCTTTCATGTTGTTTTTTTTGTCTTGGGACTTTGCTGTATTTTTGTGTATGTTATATCAAACGGGACTTGTTCCACCCGTGAGACCCTTGGGTAGTGTTGCACACACCTCACCAAGTGTGTGTGTGTGTGTGTGTGTGTGTGTGTGTGTGTGTGTGTGTGTGTGTGTGTGTGTGTGTGTGTGTGTGTGTGTGTGTGTGTGTGTGTGTGTGTGTGTGTGTGTGTGTGTGTGTGGGTGTGTGTGTGTGTGTGTGTGTGTGTGCGCGTGTGTGTGTGTGTGTGTGTGTGTGTGTGTGTGTGTGTGTGTGTGTGTGTGTGTGTGTGTGTGTGTGTGTGTGTGTGTGTGTGTATGTGTGCGTGTGTGTGTGTGTGTGTGTGTGTGTGTGTGTGTGTGTGTGTGTGTGTGTGTGTGTGTGTGTGTGCGTGTGTGTGCGTGTGTGTGTGTGTGTGTGTGTGTGTGTGTGTGTGTGTGTGTGTGTGTGTGCGTGCGTGCGTGCGTGTGTGTGTGTGTGTGTGTGTGTGTGTGTGTGTGTGTGTGTGTGTGTGTGTGTGTGTGTGTGTGTGTGTGTGTGTGTGTGTGTGTGTGTGTGTGTACTCACCTAGTTGTACTCACCTAGTTGTGTTTGCGGGGGTTGAGCTCTGGCTCTTTGGTCCCGCCTCTCAACCGTCAATCAACTGGTGTACAGGTTCTTGAGCCTATTGGGCTCTATCATATCTACACTTGAAACTGTGTATGGAGTCAGCCTC